ATCGCGATACATATTCCAATGTACACAACATAACCAATGACAATTAATGCGCGTACACAAAAAACATTATCATGCGAAGCACGTACCCGTCATGACCTAAGGTCGAAAAGTAACGGACATGTCAGATTAGTATGAGGGGTGCTGATTGCCTCTTGGTCACTTCTGCGGTAGCAGACGACAGTAGCACTGTAGCAGGGTATGGAAACGTTAGACAGTGTCCGAGAGACTCTTGGCACCCCTGTCACTCTTATGGCGACAGAGAGGCAGTGAGACGGGTACCCAAGCGTTCGCTCGTCGTGTCGAAGGCCCTGTGTCGACAGACACGTGCAATGTAGCGGGCTTTACGTGTATGACTGACTGACTGAGTTCAGTTTTACGCCGCTTTTAACAATATTCCAGCAATATCACGGCGGGGGACACCAGAAATGGGCTTAACACATTGTACCCATGTGGGGAATCGAACCCGGGTCTTCAGCGTGACGTGCCAACGCTTTAACCACTAGGCTACCCTGCCGCCACTTTTACGTGTATGATACACAATTCAAATAACTTCAAACAGATGAATATTGCAACTAAATGACAATGTTGTACAACGTTTTGATGAAATAAGAGCATCTAGTTCATGTGACAATAACTTAAGCTTGGTTTCAGTCAAAAATAACTGACACTGAAGCGAGTTCAATGTAACTATGTCATATAGATGAGGCAAATGAGATAGTTCAGTGACATTGTGTCTCGTATATGACTAGATAACAATACAATCGTTTATATATATATATATATATAAATATATATATATATATTTACGCTCCAAATGGAACATTTGATAACATTCACTTACCTCTATGCATTCAGGATCCGTTGAGTGGTTTGGTAAACTTGCAATTCAAGAAGACCTAAGTAAATTTCTTTAAATTTGTTTTTTTGTGAGACAAATCTTGTAAAATTTTCGTCGGAAATTTCCAAGTTAATAAATTCACCGTTATGGTCACACAACAATTCTGAAAAGCGCAAAATTGAATTGACTCATACACGGAAAAAGAATAATTAGGTTGGTGTGTTACAAGTTTTGAAAAAATGAAATCAAAGCTATGTTTCAAATTTTCGAATGAGATATGTCTAGAACAAAACGATATTTTATCGTTTCCGTTAACTATATCGAAATCGTGTCCAAAAGCAGAAGGTGAAATCAATAGATAAGCGATAGCGTTTGACCAATATGATTTTTTTTCACTTATTATATACAGGACAGTCGCAGCTTTGAAAATGAGAATCGTGACATATATTTCTACAAAACTACAAGTCGTGACGGGTGTATATCCAAAGGGATTGCAAGACATAGAAAATAGTGAAAAGATCGTTATGTCCGAGTTATTAATATAATGTACGCATGTTTTAAGAAGTTATGAACATTCACATGACTGATATCAAAACCTTGGTGATAGGTACGTCAGTGAACGCGATTTATTCATCTATGACGCGTTTTAGTGCAAATAAATCCCTACCCGTAAACTCCATTCAAAAAGTAAAGGCGGACTGTGAGTCGTGATATTTTTTCAATAGAACACTATTTCAATACATACTCGGTGAGAGGTGATGTGTGTGTGTGTAGACTATTTCTATGCATCTTTGAAAGAGGTGTGGTGAAATTGGGTTTAACGTTGTGCTTGAGAATATTTCGCTCATATGTCGACATCCATCTTTGAAAGAGTTACTACTTCTGACATGGAAGAATGTTTGAACGTGTTAGGATTGATGAAAGTAAGTGAAAACATAATTATAAAACAGACTCCTACTTTGTAGGATCGTCAAATAGAGATACTAGAAAATCAACCGATAATTAAATCCTATTGCGAAAAGTTCAAGAGAGAACAGAAACTGAAAAGACTGAAAGAGATAAGACAGAGAGGGAAAGCAATTAAGAAAGAACAGAAGACAATGGAAGAGAAAACAATTAAGCAAAGGAGAAAGAAAGAGAAGATAGTGAAGAGGAAGAGAGGAGAGGACAATCTGGAAATATTTAAGGAAACAACTAGGAAGAGACAGTGTTTAAATATCAAGTGTATGGTGGAACTACAGGTGTTAACGCTACCATTTTTGAAAAAAATGAACATGAGCTGTCTAAAGACGATAACGGAGTGCATATGCAAACCCTGTTATGTTCAACTTTAGGTAAGTTTCATTCATTTATTGTGTTCCATTGAGTAACAAGTGTTACATGGGTGGACAAAATGTGTCATCACACTTAAAGGTGTTGTACTTTACTATGATGCGATGTTATTGATGCATTACAATTCCATTTCATAGACCATGAACCGTAAAACATTCGCTCGAACGCAACTGCTAAGGCGTTATGAGGTAAAACCGAACGCGTTACTTCGCCTGTTTCTGCGTTTTGGCGATCAATTTCGAGAGCGTACGGGAACATTGATTCTCTGCGTATATGCTTCAGCGAGCATTTCAAGTTTTTCAAATGCTATCGTTAAATAGTTTGCATACTTTGCGTTAAAGAGCACTTTGTGGAATGCCAAGGTTAAATAGTTTGCATAGTTTTAAGGACGTTAAAAGGTGCACTTGTGGAATGCTATTGTATTCGTTGGAGGAACTTGTGGAATGATATCGTTAAATAGTTTGACTCATTCCTCTGGAATGTTTGTTATATAAGGATGAATCCTCATTCGAATGAGGATTTTTGAGGATTACTTCTCTGGAATGTCTATTGTATTCGTTCAGCGAGCATTTCAAGTTTTTCAAATGCTATCGTTAAATAGTTTGCATACTTTGCGTTAAAGAGCACTTTGTGGAATGCCAAGGTTAAATAGTTTGCATAGTTTTAAGGACGTTAAAAGGTGCACTTGTGGAATGCTATTGTATTCGTTGGAGGAACTTGTGGGAATGATATCGTTAAATAGTTTGACTCATTCCTCTGGAATGTTTGTTATATAAGGATGAATCCTCATTCGAATGAGGATTTTTGAGGATTACTTCTCTGGAATGTCTATTGTATTCGTTCAGCGAGCATTTCAAGTTTTTCAAATGCTATCGTTAAATAGTTTGCATACTTTGCGTTAAAGAGCACTTTGTGGAATGCCAAGGTTAAATAGTTTGCATAGTTTTAAGGACGTTAAAAGGTGCACTTGTGGAATGCTATTGTATTCGTTGGAGGAACTTGTGGAATGATATCGTTAAATAGTTTGACTCATTCCTCTGGAATGTTTGTTATATAAGGATGAATCCTCATTCGAATGAGGATTTTTGAGGATTACTTCTCTGGAATGTCTATTGTATTCGTCTGGAATGCTATTGTATTCGTCAGGAATGCTTTTGTTCTCTTAGGAATGCTATTGTCTGTGCTGAACGGATTACTTCCCTACTACTCATGTAGCTGAAATAACGAGAAAATAGTCCAAACAACGCGAAATTTCTCTAAAAATATATTTTTCACTTCAAAAACGGCAGCATGAGGCTTCGTAATGGACGTATAGGGAATCTATGTAATATACTTGCCGTCCAGGCAACTGAATTGATCGGCTTGTGAGGCTCGGCGTGTTGGTTGACATCGTCATGGTATGAGTGAGTGAGTATGGTTTTACGCTGTTTTTAGCCATATTCCAGCAATATCATGGCGGAGGACACCAGGAATTGGTTTCACACATTGTACGCATCTGGGGAATCGAACCAGGGTCTTGGGCGTGATACATCGTGTGATGAGAGTGTAGGAAGGTGTTCATAATATACATCACTGGTTTGTCCGGCTCAGACTGCTCATGATAGACTATTTCATATCTGTTCATTTTTATTACGTACGCCATTTACCTCTTAATATGTATTGTGGCTATTATATAATGTGTGTTGTGTGAATGTCCCCTGGGGTGATATGTTAGTAATATAACAGTGCGTCAGACTTATAGTATTCAATCTGAATCACGTATAAACTGCAGTCTTGCGTTGTATACGTATCCTAACTAAAACGCTGTTAACTTGTTTACTTCTTATATATCATCGCAACAATCTGACACATGTCATCGTATCCCAGTTGCGTAGATCGACGCTCATGTTGTCGATCACTGGATTATCTGGTCCAGACTCGATTATTTACAGACCTCCACAATATAGCTGGAATATTGCTGAGTGCGGCGTAAAACTAAACTCACTCACTCAGAATGTCTTGCCGGCCGCCGTCATTAAGCTGGACCCGTGAAGATCCCCGTTAGAATTGGTATTTAGCAACCCATGCTTGTAAGAAGCGACTAACGGGATCGGGTGGTCAGGCTTGCTGACTTTGTTGACACACCGTATCCCAATTGCGTAGATCGATGTTGATGATCACTGGATTATTTGCTCCAGACACGGTTTTTTTACAGACCGACGCCATATAGCTGGAATATTGCGGACTAACGAACAAGCAGACAAACATTAAGCTGAGATCTAGCTAGTGTTAAATGACATCAGTAAAATCTGGATGCCACCATCCTATATGAGGTGAGGTGAGGTGAAATTGGGTTTAACGTTGTGAATTAGAATATTGCGCTCATATGACGACGTGCATGCGTGTGTATGTGCGACTGCTTGTACTAGCCCAGACTGAAGCTGGTTCTATAGTGCTAGCTCACTGAGATACCATGACGCAGTGAAGCATGAATACCCCACTCAGACACATTATACTGACTCCAAGCCGACCAGTCCTTGTTGTACCTATTAATGACCAGCGCCAGGCAGGGACCAACAAGTACCATATTTTAACGTCTTTTGGTATGACGCGGTCGGGGATCAAACCCGCGACCTTCCGCGCGCTCTCCGGGTGGACGCTCTTACCACTACACCACGGAGGCGGTCCCATCCCATATGAAGGCACATACAGAAAGAAACCAATAGTATTATTATCATGACAGAAAAAGGGATGCGGTAAACGTCGCTTGGTGTCGCGGGGTTATAATGTCGCCAAAAGCGAAACAGAACCCAACGCACCGTAACACGTAACAGGAAGATTGTATGATACCACAAGGTTGTATTACAAATATCCTATGAGCGGTTACACGACTGATAACCAACAGTAATTTCCTAACTTGGACAGAAATATCCGTGTCACCAACAGTTCGTGATCGCTTAACGAACAATACGACATCACGTGACCAAAACATCACGAGACGAAGGGTATCGTCTGCAATAAGCGAAGCATGCAATAACTCGGCTAGAGATACAAAGGTTCAGGGTATACTTTCCCAGCGTCCGGGACACAAACAGCTGTCATGGCGGTATCCGGGGTATTGGCAGCCCTCCTCCTCTGTTTAACGGGTACTTGGGGTCGCTACGACCCAACATGGCCGTCGCTCGACACACGGCCCCTCCCAGGATGGTATGACGAAGCCAAACTGGGTATTTTTATCCACTGGGGGATATTCTCTGTGCCCAGCTACAACAACGAGTGGTTCTGGTATCAGTGGAAGGGGTCAAAGGTGAAGAATGTAGTTCAGTATATGGACGATAATTTTCGACCTGATTTCACGTATGCTGATTTTGCTCCGGGATTTACAACCGAGTTTTTCGATCCTGCAGAGTGGGCTGACATTATTCAAGCTTCTGGGGCGAAGTAAGTCAATAGTACAGGTGAACACCTGGCAATATTAACAATATGTTATAGATTTGATCGATAATGTTGTATTTTTCTTGGGAACCTCAACTGACTGTATCATTTCACGTATATTTTTAAATAGGCTTTTGGCGCTTATCTCTATTTCGTCCACCACTACTGTCGTTGTGGTAGCCTAGTGGTTAAAACGTAGGTTCGTTACGCCTAGGATCTGGGTTCGATGCTGTCCAAACAACGTAACCCATGTACATGCTCACTTAACCGACAGCATCCCATAATTGTTTTCAACTACAGACACCTAGGGTCATTTCCCTTTTCCTATACCTGTTGGAATATATCAGTGCCCCAATATATATATATGTTTGTTTATTTGCTGATTAACGCCGATTTCAGCATTATTCACACGATATGACGTCATTGTGTAAGTAACCTGGCCAGCTATTCTCGAAACGTTCGTAGCCCTAGGAACTTCTTAAGACGATTCTTAACACATTGGCTGCGATCAAAGTTAAGAATTCTTAGAGCTACGAACGTTTCGAGAATATGGGTCCAGGTCTGGACCAGAAAATCCAGTGATCAACAGCATGAGCATCGATCAACGAAACTGGGATACGATGATATGTGTCAACCAAGCCAGCGAGCCTGACCACCGGATCCCGATCTCGCCTCTTACGTCTTCGCGGGTTTCTATATTTTGGAGCCTTGATTGGTAAAGTATTCTGCCTGAAACAAAAATCCCTGTTATGTACCTGAGGACTGCGGTGTAAAACAACATGCATTCATTCTCTCTTTCTGCACCAGATACGTTGTGCTGACCAGCAAGCACCATGAAGGTTTCACCAACTGGCCATCCAAGTACTCCTTCAACTGGAACTCCATGGACAACGGCCCAAACAGGGATCTCGTGGGTCAGTATTGTTCGTATGATTACCCGCGGTTTGGTAGCCAAGTGGTTAAAGCGTTAGCTATACACGCCGAAGACCCGAGTTTGACTCCCCAAATTGATGCAATGCGTGAAGTCCACTTCTGGTGTCCACCATTGTGACATTGCTGGACTATTGCTAAGAGCGGCGTAAAACCATACTCAAATTACATGGAATATTAGTATCTTCGCTAAAAAAATTTAACATATATTGGTGTGTAAATTCTTTTGCCCAGGTCGCTGTGTGGCAGAATTAATCCCCATGCGACGTAAAACCTTCACTTGTTATCTTTTGACCACCAGTTCGAATATCGGTGGGGCGGTGGGGTAGCCTAGTGGTTAAGGGGGGTCAAACCGAAACATGAGTCTCGTTAACCTATTCAGACAATGACCTACTATTCAGCCGATCCGACTTTTCTCGTGTGAAATTGAATAGAGACACCGCAAACAACTATGGTACACTGAATTCCAATTCCTTGTTTCCTAAGCAAATGGTATTTACAAGTAAATTTTAATTTCAAACTTTAATAACATCGTATTTCTATATTTTATGGCGAGGTTTAGGCAGCATGGCCTTAACTAAAACGCCCTGTTTGATGAGGTCGTACAATGATTGACAATTCATCTGGCTCACTGGTTACACCTGTTATGTGTTTTGTGCGCTTATTCGGTGTAGTTCTGTAACGTACAATATGACTGATATAATATCAAGTCCGTACAAGACCGCCACACTATTCTAGCGGCAGGGCCTCGTTTTGAGATTTCCACGATTTCCGTTTGTCAGAGCCTGCTGTACGACAGAGCCCGCTGCACGACGTGTTTGCAAGGATTAGAAGGAGCGTAGTGTTGCAATATACAAGTGCTTAGATGTACCAAATAATACTCATTTATATTTATGTATCCAGTTGAATGAATTGGTATCATAATTCTGGACGAGTTATTGTACTAATATGCGCACTAGGGCGGAACCCAGTCAGCAGGTAACGAGACTTGTGTGTAATCAATGTTTTGACTTGCGCTCCTCACGCCGAATACCGGGTTCCATTCCCCACATGGGCACAATGTGTAAAGCGCATTTCTTGTGTCCCTCACCGTGATATTGCTGGAATATTGCTAAAAGTGGCATAAAACCCTCTCACTCATTCACTCTGTCGGATATTGGTGACTGTGGCGTTGCCCAACTTTCATTGACTGGTTTCTCTACAGGTGAGCTCGGTGCTGCAATACGCAACAACACCACTGTACGTTTCGGTCTCTACCATTCCTTGTTCGAGTGGTTCCACCCCCTTTTTCTCAGCGACAAGGCCTCCAGGTTCAAGACCAACAAGTTCGTGGCTGTGAGTACCTTAACGACGAGGTCACATCACTTTAGCCTTTAACCAATTAGCGTCCAGAGAGGTCCATTCAGAATCGCATATAAGATTGATGAATATTGAAAACAGAATATAACCAGGCAGATTTAATTCTTGTAATCGTATGATTATCACCATTTCAGCCGTCTTGACACTATGGATTGTGTTACAAATAGGACTGGTTAAAATGATCGATAATCGGAAATATCGTCAATGGGAATCATTATTTATGATTATCGATATGAAAGTTGTGTAATCGATAATATCGTAGATAATCTGTTGTGGTGAAATATAAGAAAATGCAAATACTCAGAATTATGTCTTTATTCATGGGCTGCTCCTAAAATATGTTGAATGTAATCCAAATCTTAATATGTCACCACTCAACACTAATATGAAACACGGCCTCCGTGGTGTAGTGGTTAGAGCGTCCGCTCGGAGATTGGAAGGTCGCGGGTTCGATCCCTGACCGCGTCATACCAAAAGACGTTAAAATATGGTACTTATAGAGCCCTGTCTGGCACTCGGCATTCATGGGTACAACAAGGACTGGTCGGCTTGGAGTCAGTATAATGTGTCTGAGTGGGGTATTCATGTTTCACTGCGGCATGGTTTCTCAGTGGGCTAGCACTATAAAACCAGCTACAGTCTGGGCTAGTACAAGCAGCCGCACAGACACATACACATGCATGCACGTCATCATATGAGCGAAATATTCTCAAGCACGACGTTAAACCCACTTTCACCTCACCTCACCACTAATGTGAAAAATGTTGATTTCTTTCAGATCTTGCTACTATCTTAGTCACAGGCCCTCGTGCCTTTGCGAGATTAAGAATGAAAAAATATTGTTTTTGAGATGATCCCCGACTCAAAAAGCTTCACAGTGCAATGCATCATTATGTATTGTACTGTGAAGCATTTCGAGTGGGGGGTCATCTCAATTTTTTATATGTTTTTAAGAAATCTTTAATCTTCGCAAGACACGAAGGCCTGTGATCTTAGTGACAATATCTTAGTGTTTTATTTGTCTGATAGTGACTGTCAGTATTATCATACTGTGTTATAATTGCGCATTTCGTTGCCATGGCACCAGAGTAAGACGATGCCAGAGCTGTTTGAGATAGTCCAGAGGTACAAGCCGGAGGTTGTGTGGTCCGACGGTGACTGGGAGGCTCCCGATTCATACTGGAACTCCACGCACTTCCTGGCCTGGCTGTACAACGACAGGTTAGTATTGGGATGGATGTGGATGGATGGATGTGCATTGCTTATATTAATTCTATGTGTGGACTTAAGTTACCTGGAGATGTGAATATGTACAAGTTGAAACCGAACGCGCAGATGTCTCGTTTGCAATAAATCTTAAGCACACTCACCTAGCTAATTCTGTTGTAAATTCTGTCCAAATGTGAGGCAAAAATAATTTTTTAAAGGCCTGACGACAATGTTTGATATAGAAGTGTCTTTCTGTGTATATTAACTACATAGTTATGTGACAGTCAGTGTTGTACTCAAAGGGTTGTTGAGACATGGAACCTGCGACTGGCCAATCCGAATATAGTATTTCAAAGGTATGGTAATTGGGTATTGGATGTTTGTATGTAATACCTGTCACTTGATTGTGTATTGGTTGTTTTTCCGCAGTCCGGTCAAGGACACTGTGGTGACCAACGACAGATGGGGAGCAGGGATCAAGTGTAAACATGGCGACTTCTACACCTGTCGTGACCGCTACAACCCAGGTCAGTACTTCCGGTCTGCGTACACGTGACAAAGAAATTACAACAACACACAATTTATAATGACCATATTATCTGACATATGCTTACATTCAGGGTAAAGATGTTTGAATACAAAAAATATAATTTCCCTTGCTGCCGAAACGTCGCAAAAATATCACGTCGCAACGGCACAAGTGACCCAGTTTGTTAGACACCGCAAATCACCCTGTGGAGTTGTTTCTCCAAGGAATACAAGAAATATATGGTTTCGAATCCTGATTCGCACTGATGTTTCAAATATATTTGGCACACTACCCTCGTAGTCTGTCGTACATACCCTGAAACAAATATACCCAATGTAGCCCGTGCAAGTCTAGAACATGTGGCAAGTCTAGATTTCCCGTTTCAGGAAGAAAGTCTCTGGGCTCCTTTTAATTGTATTTTATTTTAATTATAAAAAAAATCTTAAAATTGTGTTCATTTCAGAGACTAGCTGTTAGTCTAAATACCCTCCGAGTACATGGGTTTCATCAAAGTGGGATATTCGTGGCTTTAGACTTTCCTCCACATCAAGATTACACGCGGTAATGGAAATGAAATAATACTGATCAAAGGTGTAACACCAAATCCTGTCACACAACTTTTGTACGGCAGGCAAGCTCCAGAACCACAAGTTTGAGAACGCCATGACCATAGACGCCAGGTCTTGGGGGTTCCGGCGCGAGGCGAAGCTCAGTGACTATCTGTCCATTCAGAAACTGTTACAGACGCTTGTGGAAACTGTCAGGTGAGTGGTACTTAGTGCTGTATCTATGTTATTTTAATGATTCTTTACGGTATTGAGAATTGGTGGTATATCATGTCTCGACTTTCCAATAATGATGAATGAGTTCATTGATATTTGGGCTTGGAGTTTGTTCGTTTGTTGTTTTAAGCCGCACTCAGCAATATTCAAGCTATATGGCGCCGGTTTGTAAAATAATGGAGTCTGGACCAGACGATCCAGTGATCAACAGCGTGAGCATCGATCTACGCAATTGGGATACGATGACATGTGTCAATCACGTCAGCGATCCTGACCACCCGATCCCGTTAGTGGCCTCTGGCGCCAACATGGGTTGCTGAAGATAAGTTCTAACCGGAATCTTCACGGCTATGCTCGACTTCTACAAACATTTAGTAACTGCTATATATCATGTCGGGATGTTGCAGTTGTGGCGGGAACATGCTGATGAATGTGGGACCCACGAAGTACGGGAAGATAGCTCCAATCTTTGAGGAACGACTGCGGCAAATGGGTGAATGGTTGAAACTGAACGGTAACGCCATCTACGCCACCAGACCCTGGACGCATCAGAACGACACCGTCAACAAATATATATGGTGAGAACAGACTTGGCATCGTACAACAGCCATCAATCACCCGTGAAAGATTGAGATATCACATGTTTCTAGATCCTTAACACAAACCTAAACTGTGTTCTTGATCCATAACGGGTTTAGGATTATGTTCAACTGGTTAAAGAACAAATAAACTTTGTTTTTTGGTACTCTTTTAACTATTACATATGAAAGATTTGTGGTTAATCTTATGCGGAACACCAAATTCATTCTTAAAAAACTTGTGGTTAATTAATACCGAGCGATTAAAAGTTGCCAAAAAGTCGCCTGCTTCATTCTCGCCCGCCAACGAAACCACAGACAGGTTACGTAACTCTGTCGCCAGAGGGAACCTTTGTCGGGTAATCTAAGTGGTGTTACGACTACTGTTATTATACCTGTTATAAATTCATTAACTGACCATCAAGTGAATGATGACAAATAACGTGTAGTTCATATCACCTAACACGGGTTACAAGAAGGGAGTATGAATTGCCGTATTGCATGTAAAAACTTATGGGCCCACACTGTTTTGAGAATAAAAACTTCATTGTTGCATAAGAAATACCTATAAGCATTTGCCGTGTGCTAAAACTGTATGTACCTATTTACCTAAATAAATTTTCAGATTCTTCTAGCAATGGCAAAGTAGGCTTGTTTAGTTTACGGATTCAAATAAATCAAATGTTTATTTTTAATATCATACGTAATAGACGTCATATTTTTACATGACATGATTAAATATCGAGGTGAAAAAACACAGAAATGGGATCAATTTGGATCAGTCATTATACCATCCAGGCATTAGAAAACCTGAAAAAGCCTGAAAAAGCCCACACTGCTTTGATACTTTATTACAATCAGACGAGAACTACCGGGGATATTTTCAAATAACTGCATCTGATGGGCATCCAGCCTTCTTAATGTCGCACTGTCTAGGTTGAAGAAATTAACCGTAACCGACTAACCTTGATGAGCGAGGCTGATCATCGTTTTCGCTATCACTAGCGTCTGGCTCGAACAAATAGAGCCTAGCGACACCAAACGATTTTGACAGAATCGTCTATGAAAACAAGTTGTAACTCGGAAACTTGGCAAAGCAGGAGACAAAATTAAATGACAGTAGATTGTGAGAACATAAAGGTTTCATTTTTCACAACAGTTGTCACGATTTCAGGTTTATACAAACCTGTAGACAAGATCCTCTGAAATGTAAATGAATTCTGCATCGGCCCTCATATCTGTTCCTCATATGACGTCACAGAGACGCGCCGCTCTGATTGGTTGAAATTTCGTTCGCGGGTGAGAATTGTGCACTGTAGTCAAAAAGGTCGATATAAGCAGAGACCATATACCGACCATATATCGGTATATGCATGGTCTCTGATTTAAGTTAATTAAAGATCGAAATGAGTAGTTTTAATGACGGGGTTTCATTTATAACGATGCCAATTAGTGAATTATTAATCTGTACACACACACACACACACACACACACACACACACCTAGAGTATATGTGATCTTTTTAGGGTCTTGGTTTCACATAGGCCATTATACCTGAGTTGAAGTGAGTGAGTGAGTATGGTTTTACTCCGCTTTAGCAAAATTCCAGCAACATCACAGCGGGGGACACAAGAAATGTGCTTCACACATTGTACCCATTTGGGGAGTACTGTTAAAAGCGATAGCTCCAGCACACTCACTCACTCTCTAGACAGTTTGACAGTTTTAAAATTCATATGGCATGAAATAAAATTATACTGATAAAAAAGAAACACAAAAATGTTCACCCTTGCTTTATGATCACCATGTACCCATTTTGCGGCTACATGTTTGTCTTATATTAGTCGACTTAAATGAGGATTGGTTGGTCACAATGTGTGCCAATGTGCATAGACAGCACTGGACATACCAGTCAGTTACGTTCATCTTTACAGCTGGCAAACCTTGCAACGAGCAAACCGACAACTACCGTGCAATAAAAGACTGACTGACTGACCGAGTTTGGTTTTACGCCGCTTTTAGCAATATTCCAGCAACATTACGGCGGGGGACACCAGAAATGGGCTTCACACATTGTACCCACGTGGGGATTCGAACCCGGGTCTTCGGCGTGACGAGCCAACGCTTTAACCATTAGGCTACCCCACTGCCCCTGCAATAAAAGAGATATACAGTAGTCTTAGCACTAAAGTCTATTTATGCATACGGGTCTAAAGTCTAAGGTCATTCATTTTTACTGTCGACTCACAATGGAGCTAGAATTGCTTCCCGTGACATAAAACAACATCCACTCTCTATTCTCCTTCGCTTTTCTCCTACAGGTACACAAGCAGCAAAAGCGCCACTGGCTTGGACGTTTTCGCCATCTACATCCGCGACATCACCACTGCCAACATCACCCTAGGGGCACCCATCCCCACCGCACAGACTCAGGTCCTACTGATGGGGAATAACAAATTACTGTCCTGGACCCATGGGGCTACTGGCGGGATGGTTATCAACATTTCCGATATCCCTTTCTACGAGGTCAAGAGTCAGTGGGCATACGCCTTTAGACTCACTCATCTTGAAAACTGATTATGTGGAGTGTGTCGTCAGTTGACCTCTCCTCGTTACGAACTGACCATTTGGACTTTTGCGGGGGCTAAAGGAAGTTGGAATTTTATGAAATTAAATTATATCAGAAGATGTTCGGAGGTCATGCCATACATCCTGAAAAAAAAATTATTTTATAAAAAATAAAATATTTCTACTTCTTCCAGAGAAATGAACTCTATGTCTTAGAGTGACCTAAAAGGTATTAGACCTCTGGCTAAGAACCAAACCTGCTGCCATTTAATATTACATTTTATAGCTAAAATACATGGAATTATCATGAAACGGCCCGCCCATTATCAGAAATTTGCGGGCCGCTGCAAATGATATTGGACCGCTCAACCTTAACGACGGGCCACTATCAGTTCTGTTGTCAAGTGACGTCATAGTGGGTGCGTGGGCTTACGGTTCATTCGACATTAATTGGCTTTCGACTGGCAGATATTCTGGGTCAAACAAGTCAAAGCAACCCGAATTCCCGCTTGAAATAGCGGTAATATTGGCTTTCTTGTTGGTGCTAACCTTAACAATTGCACTATTAAGGCTGTTGAAGGATCAAAACCGAACACTGACATAGTTTGACATGTTCCAGGCTATGGTCTTGTCAAAGGCCAAGGTCGAATATCGTCACTTTCTGTTGTGACGTCACTTGAATTGTTCGATGACGTAATTGCATTCGGGCAGTCAACCCCGTCAGAAGTTGATTTGGGTAAACTTACAGTCAAATTCCTTCATTGTTTCCTTTTTCCTTTCAACACAAATTCCATGTAGTTTAGCAATAATAACGGTAATGCTATTTTTGAGGGCATTATCATTTGCAGAAGCCCTCGGGCTTTTTTCAACTGCCCTCCTTCGTCGGGCAGTTAATGGAAGACCTCGGGCTTCTGCAAATGATAATGCCCTCAAAAATAGCATTACCCTTATAATAATTCATGACTCCGTCAGCTGTTCTAGTCGTTCTGTTGCTGAAACAATTCCGATGCGACGCTATAAGGCTTCAGACTCACTCATACAGGCTCGTAAAAAAATGGAGTGGTCTCCCTCTAATTAAATGTCTTCAGATAACAAGATGAAATTGAGCGGTTTGGATTTAACAAGAGCTTCCATCGTATACTTATTTCGCACGTTTGTATGTGTCATGTTATTAGGGGTGAGTGAGTTTAGTTTTACGCCGCACTCAGCAATATTCCAGCTATATGTCGGCGATCTGGAAATAATCTAGCCTGGACCAGACAATCCAGTGATCAACAGGATGAGCATCGATCTGCGCAAGTGGGAACCGATGACATGTGTCAACCAAATCAGCGAGCCTGACCACCCGATCCCGTTAGTCGCCTCGTACGACAAGCATGAGTTACTGGAGGTACATTCTAACCCGGATCTTCACGGGTCTGTTATTAGGGACATTTATGACATTTGGGGGTGTCTGGGTTGGAATAAATACCCAGAACTTCCATAATGGTCTGACTCTGTGATCTGTATATCATCCTTCCACTGGTATGAGTAGTCAAGGGTCGAACATTTACAGGTTATCGTGATATATCGTGACCGAAGTAGCCTAGTAGTTAAAGCGTTCACTCCTCACGCCGAAGACCCGGGTTCGATTCCCGACATGGGTGCAATGTGTGAAGCCCATTTCTGGTGTCCCCTGCCGTGATATTGCTGTAATATTGCTAAAAACGGCGCAAAAGCATACTCACTATGATATAACTGGATTCCCACGTTCAGGTTTTCTATTATCGTACAATTATCTTTGTGGAGTCGGGATTGGTCTGAACGAGTTATAAATTAGCTACCATTAATGTCATCACATGCAAGAATTTGGGTTAGGTGGCTGCATTCTCGCCCCAAGATCAGATTGGCACGGTAAACATCTTATATTTGGTTATAATCATTTAGTATTCCATTTTCTATTCCACGACCTTTTTACTACCGCAGAGTTGTTTAAATTCAGTCTGGGCATTTATTCACGCACGACCCTAACAGGCAAGTTTTCCCAACTTCACACAAAGAGCGAAACGAACGAATGCACGTTGGGAACTAAACTAAGTAGAATAGAATTTGAGCATTATGGATGTATAGTCTATAACTAGGCGTTATAGTGAGGGTTGTTTATTGTTATGGTGATATCATGTACGGTTACTAGTGTGTAATATATTTTTGTATTGTTCTCCAGTTGTCCATTGAGCCATTAATGTACGGGGTTTTATATCAATAAAGAGTACCTTCTTGTCGTGTGTTATTGGTTCCTGTCTACCCTGCACTGATATACGAGTGGTTCCGACTTAAAGGTATATACGAGTAAGTGAATATAGGTTTACGCCGCTTTTAGCAATATTCCAACGATATCGCGGAGGTGGACACCAGAAATGGGATTCACATGGTCAACCCATGTGGGGAATCGAACCCGGGTATTCGGCGTGACGAGCGGACGCTTTCACAACTGGGCTACCCCACTGCACGGGACTAAAGGAAGAGCCATTGATAAGTAGATGATGAATATATAGAGAGAAGAAGAAGAAAAATAGTTCATTTAAGTGTTTATCGGTATACATGATTGATATGCTTACATACATACAAGTAAAAATCGCCCAGCCAACTATATATAGGGCACCATTAAATTCTATATATAGGGCACCATTAAATTCAATAAATGGTAAAAGCACGATGAGTGGTGAAATAAATTGTACATAAAATCACTAGATATACATTTTTTAAAATATCAGACAAAAACTTCAAGTTTAAATATCAGTTGAGGTGGGAATGGTGAATGATAGAAATGCCAAGCTGTTGATTGGTTTTCTAGTGTGTATTAAATCCAGAATAAGGAAATCACCCTGCTTGGAAGTGGTACCACTGTACACGACCAACCACCACAAGACACGACCTGAGTTTCTTAGTTAGCTACAGAGTCATCCACATAATTAGTGTACAAAAAACATTTACAATTAAGCTTTATACAATGTTACAATGGGTAAAAGAGTGAGTTTAGTTTTAAGCCGCACTCAGCAATTTTTCAGCTATATATCTGTAAATAATCGAGTCTGGACCAGGCAATCCAGTGATCAACAGCATGAGCGTCCTCGATAATCTCCAGGGTATACGTTCCGATAAATCTCCACTAATATTAGTAAAGATGTATCGGAACGTATACCCTGGAGATTATCGATGATGCAGCAAGAGCATCGATCTACGCAACTGGGATACGATGACATGTGTCAGATTGTTACAATGATATAAAGGAAGTACCCAAGTTAACAGCGTTTTAGTTACGATACGTATACAACGCAAGACTACAATTTATACGTGATTCACATTGAATATTAGAAGTCTGACGCACTGTATATTACTAACATATCACCCAGGGGACATTCACACAATACACATTATATAATAGCCACAATACACATTAAGAGGTAAATAGCGTACGTAATAAAAATAAACAGATGAAATAGTCTCTCATGAGCATTAGTCCACGAGAAAAAGTGAAAAAGACACCAAAATATAACATGTTCCAAGGGTAGTAGCCTATTGTTAAGAATTCAATAGTTAAAATTTAAGTGAGAGAGTGAGTATGGTTTTACGCCGCTTTTAGCAATATTCCAGCAATATCACGGCAGGGTCACCAGAAATGGGCTTCACACATTGTACCCATGTGGGGATTCGAACCCGGGTCTTCGGCGTGACGAGCGAACGCTTTAACCACTAGGCTACCCCACCGCCCCTTTAGATTTAATATGAAATAGCATATGGTTAAGATACTAAGAAAAGTACACAGAGGATATATAGAAGATTTTCTTGTCTGAGTAAATGAGTGAGTGAGTTTAGTGTTACGCGGCACTCAGCAATATTCCAGCTATGTGGCGGCGGTCTGTATATAATCGAGTCTGGACCAGACAATCCAGTGATCAACAGCATGAGTATCGATCTGGATCCGATGACATGTGTCAACCAGATCAGCGAGCCTGACCACCCGATCTCGTTACTCGCCTCTTACGACAAGCATGGGTTACTGAAGATCAATATTCTCACCCGCACCTTCACGGGTATCTGAGTAAATGAAGTTTATCAGTCATCTACAGAATAATTTGTGACTAACTGTCGTCCCTATGCATACATATGAAAATCCCTTATCTGATTAGAGTGAGTTACAATTTAACGTCACATCGGCAATATTTCAGCCATATAGTGAGGAGAGCAAAGTTAGTCAATATGATAAGTATAATCTAATTAGAACAACGGTAAGATTGTTATTGGGAACTTTAGTTGCTCTATGTCGATCCTATTGTCTTATTAGACGATAAATTTTTTATTGCAAACAGAAGTTACTCTAACTTGACAGGATTATATAAGTCATTTTGATGTTGTTATTGCTGACAACGGTATTTATTAGTGACGTACAGTGTATACATCACTGTACATACATCATAGTGCCTTTTCTCAGAAGAGACGAGACCCGTGAAACCCTCGTTAAATTAGAATTGGTCTTCAGTAACCCATGCTTGTAGTAAGAGGCGACTAACGGGATCGGGTGGTCAGGCTCGCTGACGTGGTTGGCACATGCCATCGCATCGATGCTCATGTTATTGATCACTGGATTGTCTGGTCCCAACTCGATTATTTACAGACCGCTGCCATAAGGCTGGAATGTTACTGAGAGCAGCGTTAAACAACAAATTAACCAAAATCTGAAGAGATGTTTTTTTCTGCATATAACTACTAGCGGTCATAATTGATTATTACATCAATATGACCATCTGTTGCCGGTCCGTCAAACAATTTGAGGATGACCTTCAATTGAAGGCTACTGTTCAATATTGAGGCTGAGGCTATTAGCCCAGCGGATAAGTGATCAAATTGTGCACTTTGTGTTACAAGCATGAAACTTGGCATGATTGTAGCTTATACCATTCTAACTGAATAAAGATCGAGAGGCCTCGCAGATTTTTTATATTTTCCATAATTTTGGGGAAAAAGTGAAAAAATATAATTTTTTATACTATTTTCGTTATAACCTTTTACAAAATTCTCCAATTCTCATAAGACATATATCAAATTGTAGGAAATCCATAGCTGGTCATTTTCCATCTATACATGTCTTTTATCTTTAACGGTTAGGTCTACGGAAGTCAATTTATATCATGACTACCCGAAAATGCGAAAATTGGTGGCCATTTTGCAAAATGGCCGCCAATTTTCGCACCTCCAATTGCAAAATGGCCGCCATATAGAGTACATCAGTAAAATAAGTATGAGATCATCCCATGATCTAAAATATTTTATCATTTCTTTGCAAATTCAATACGAGAAGCCTCACAGATTGTTGTAATTTTATATATTTGGGGGAAAAAGTGGGGAAAAAATTGAATTTTCAAAAATGTTCCTTTAACTCAATTTTAAATCCTCATAAATTATCTTACTAGAATATTGTGAGAACAGACCAAAGTTTATTTTAAGGAATATATCATTAGATTTACTTACATGTATAATGTATGAGCTTGATTGGCTATAGAACACCTATAAAAACATATCAAAATCAAGACAACATCAATGTCAAAGTAGCTATCTCATCACTCTATGGAATGTGTAATTGTATCTAGCTTGACTGAATGAGAAAAGTGCATAGCACTTGAGAGAGATGCTTTAACGCACTTGGACCGGTTTGAACATTTTATACACATGCATTTCAGCAATTCCCGGCAGCTCTTTCATGCCTTCGTGAGAGTTGTCCATAGTTACTAGTATGTTGGATCAAAGTTGATTCTGTTGGGGGAATGATTCTGTTGGGGGAATATTGTCCAGTGTTCTCCCCTTTGTGGCAAACAAATGTTTTCTTGCTCATTCACTTTCATGAGGTTGCTTGCACTGTCATACAGCAGTACAACAACTCTCTCATGCTGATTAATTTTGTGCATTAGGATTTCAAGTGGTGGACAAGCGAGGGAAATAAAGGTGCCTGTAAGTTCAGGAAAAGTATTCCATGTATTCCGCGAGGCCTTCTTTTCAATTCCACCTAAGGATGACATACTGTCATGGCCTGTGAAGCTGTGAAACACTGAGAATGCTTGATGCAGCAATGGCCAACACAACCACATCTGTGTCAACAATACGGATGTAGAACTTCTTCCATGAAGACAAGATATACACAGACGAGTCAAGGGATGGAAACCTGGATGAGTTTGTCAGACATAAAAATCAGTCTTGCTACCCAACTATATCTCATCAAGGTTCTCTACGTCCATGCGCAAAATCAGTTCTTCTCAATTGCTTTGAAGAAAATTTCACCACCAACTGACTCAACACCAAATGTTGACGTATCAATCCTTGATGGATCTGCAGTAATAAACATGCTAAAACCAGCAGCTCCAATAGCATTTGATGAATACTAGTATGCTGATAATGTGTTCTTGAAGTACTTGCAGTCTCTTCTGGACACTAATCAGAGAGTGGATATTGTCTGAGACGAATACAAAATGGACAGCGTATAAATCCAGTGTAAGAACAAAAGAGGAAGTGGAAAAAGACGACGAGTGGAAGCCAGTTCTGAGGAACTGGCAAGAATTCCCGAGGTGTGATACCAGCAAGAAATATCTTTTTGCTTTCCTTGTACAGAAAATAGCCTTGATAGAATCAAGCAAGTCATCAGCCCTATTGGCGAATATGTGGTGTCCAATCAACCAAAAGACCTTTTGGAATTGGCACCCTGTAACTATGAAGAGATAAAAGATAAAAGAAAGTTGCTTCACTGATGCTTCACATAAAGGATGGAAGAAGTTTTACAGCCGTAATGTTGACACTGATGTGGTTGTGTTGGCCATAGCTGCAACAGGCATTCTCGATCTTGAAGAAGTATGGGTGGGGTTTGGTACCGGAAAACTCTTCCGCTATATTGTAATTCATGAACTTGCATCAGGTCTGGGTCCTGAGAAAAGTAGATCCCTTCCAATGTTTCACAGCTTCACATTCTGTGACATTGTGTCATCCTTTGATATGAAAAGACCTCGTGGAATGCATGGATTGCTTTTCCTGAACTTACAGGCACCTCTATTTCCCTCACCTGTCCACCACTTGAAATCACTAATCACTAATGCTGATTCATCAGCTTGAGAGATTTGTTGTACTGCTGTATGACAGAGCAAGCAACCTCATGAAAGTGAATGAAGCAAGAAAGCATTTGTTCACCACGATGAGGAGAACTTTGGACAATATTCCCCCCAACAGAATAAGCTTTGATCCAACATATAAAGAGAGCTGTAAATCAGGGGAGTTATGTTTCAGAGCAATCCCTGATGAAATCACAGGAGTTACCAAGCCCTCTGTATAGGGTTGGCAATAACTCTAGGGGAGAGCTTGGGCCTGTATGGACAACTCTTCTATTGGCATGAAAGGGCTGCCAGGAATTGCTGAAATGCATGTGTATAAAATGTTCAAACTGGTCCAAGTGTTTAAAAGCAGCTCTTAAGTGCACTGCACTTTTCTGATCCAGTCAAGCTAGATACAATTACACATGATTGAGTAACCTTCCATAGATTAATGAGATAGCTACTTTGACATTGATGTTGAAATGAAATATGTTTGCGTTGATTTTGATAAGTTTTCATAGGTGATCTATAGCCAATCAAGCTCATACATTATAAATGTAAGTAAATCTAATGATATATTCCTTAAAATAAACTTTGGTCTGTTCTCACAATATTCTAGTTAGATAATTTATGAGGATTTAAAATTGAGTTAAAGGAACATTTTTTGGAAAATTCAATTTTTTCCCCACTTTTTCCCCCCAAATATATAAAATTACAACAATCTGTGAGGCTTCTCGTATTGAATTTGCAAAGAAATGATAAAAAATATTTTAGATCATGGGATGATCTCATACTTATTTTACTGATGTACTCTATATGGCGGCCATTTTGCAAACTGGTGTGCGAAAATTGGCGGCCGTTTTCAAAATGGCCGCCAATTTTCGCATTTTTGGGTAGTCATGATATAAATTGACTTCCGTAGACCTAACCGTTAAAGATAAAAAGACATGTATAGATGGAAAATGACCAGCTATGGATTTCCTACAATTTGATATATGTCTTATGAGAATTGGAGAATTTTGTAAAAAGTTATGACGAAAATAGTATAAAAAATTATATTTTTTCACTTTTTCCCCCAAAATTATGGAAAATATAAAAAATCTGCGAGGCCTCTCGATCTTTATTCAGTTAGAATGGTATAAGCTACAATCATGCCAAGTTTCATGCTTGTAACACAAAGTGCACAATTCAGTGAAAAAAGTGCACTTATCCGCTGGACAGCTTCGAACCAGCAACACATTGAAAATAATCACGACCTTTCGGATCATATCCTTCACTTAAATTAGTCAGTGCATTAGGGGTACCCATGCTCATACCTCTGCCTGGCTACCCGTGAAGATCAGGGTTAGAGTTGAACCTCTATCATACTATGTTTACGACACTCGAGCCTAAATATCGGTACATCCCTCGCTCTCGTATGGCAAAGCCGTTTTCACAATTATTAAGAAATTAAATTGTTTTAATTTCTCAGAAACAGTCGGACAACTCCAATTGTCATTAAGAGCCCCTCCCTTTCGATCAGCGATTGTCCTCCTCAACGCCTCCTGAAGGCTGTGGCCTTGCATGTATAGTGATTCTATCCTTTAAAGAGGCAAGTCCAGATACGGGGACAGTACGTCAAAGGACCCCAGTCTGCTATTTATATTTAGAAATTATCATTTCCACTATTAATTATTACCCTATAGACTTGTGCCAGTCTAGCTGTAGTGCGGCGAGGCGAAAGCGCTCTCAGGGGCGGAACTCGACAATGTCTCCGCCTGAGAAGAAATGTAAACACACGTGATGCACCTCAAGTCACATGATAACAAAATGGCGGCAGATAAGGTCCTGCTTGTTTTTTCTCTGCTGATATTCGTCTTGTCAGCGCGTGGTTTGAAAAACTATTCACCAACATGGGAATCTATCGACTCCCGGCCACTTCCACCGTGGTATGATGAAGCAAAACTAGGTATTTTCATTCACTGGGGCGTGTTTTCTGTCCCGAGCTTCCGGTCGGAATGGTTTTGGAACGATTGGAAAGGTGGTAAAACTAACGACACAGTGAAGTTTATGCACGACAACTACCGGCCTGACTTCACGTATGCAGACTTTGCCGCACAGTTCACAGCAGAGTTCTTCAACCCAGCGGAGTGGGCGGAGATTTTCAATTCCTCCGGAGCGCAGTAAGTGTCTACAAGTGCTTTCATCACACACCATGATCACAACGTAGGCAGATATCTAGGTGTCACTTCAGAATGTGTTCGCCACCAGGGTTAGGGCAAATATACTACAGGGACTCCCTTAGTCCCTACCATATTAATTTTGTCGTGATATAAATAGATTTTGGGAGGCTAAAGAAACATTCATTAGTTCACACGACCAATATACATGTAATAGCAAGTTCAAGTTCACAAGTCATTAATTGTTTCATTTCCTATCAATCTGCTGTAAAAGAAACACTCAAATAGTCACACAATCAATTATTCGAGGTTTCTGTATGATATAAATAGATATTATCTCACGATATTATCTCATCTCATTAATTGTTTCATTTCCTATCAATCTGCTGTAAAAGAAACACTCAAATAGTCACACAATCAATTATTCGAGGTTTCTGTATGATATAAATAGATATTATCTCACGAAGGTCATGAGAAATTCCGAATGGCGATAACTGTTACAGTTAGTTGTGAGAAAACATTTATTTATACTTCCATGATTCACTTCCGCCGTTACATAAAAACATGATCGGGGCAGTGAACGGGCTGGACACATCGGTGAATAGCTAATTAAGTATCATAATTAATTCTGTTTCATTAATTTAACGAACAGCGGAGTAATTTTGTAAATACTGCTAAAATATGGCGATAACTGTTCGCTAGCCAGTAGTGAAAGACAACTTTATCTTAACAAGCACAAGAAAATAAAACCTGACTAAGTGTTATATATATGGATATCTGTAATGCACTGTAGGCTATCTGTTTAAACCTGACTAAGTGTTATATATATGGATATCTGTAATGCACTGTAGACTATCTGTTTAAACCTGACTAAGTGTTGTATAAATGGATATCTGTAATACACTGTAGACTATCTGTTTAAACCTGACTAAGTGTTATAAATATGGATATCTGTAATACACTGTAGACTATCTGTTTAAACCTGACTAAGTGTTATATATATGGATATCTGTAATGCACTGTAGACTATCTGTTTAAAGCTGACTAAGTGTTATATATAAGGATATCTGTAATGCACTGTAGACTACCTGTTTAAACCTGACTAAGTGTTATATATATGGATATCTGTAATGCAACGTAGACTATCTGTTTAAACCTGACTAAGTGTTATATCTATGGATATCTGTAATGCACTGTAGACTATCTGTTTAAAGCTGACTAAGTGTTATATATAAGGATATCTGTAATGCACTGTAGACTGCCTGTTTAAACCTGACTAAGTGTTATATATATGGATATCTGTAATGCAACGTAGACTATCTGTTTAAAGCTGACTAAGTGTTATATCTATGGATATCTGTAATGCACTGTAGACTATCTGTTTAAACCTGACTAAGTGTTGTATATATGGATATCTGTAATGCACTGTAGACTACCTGTTTAAACCTGACTAAGTGTTATATATATGGATATCTGTAATGCACTGTAGACTATCTGTTTAAACCTGACTAAGTGTTGTATATATGGATATCTGTAATGCACTGTAGGCTATCTGTTTAAACCTGACTAAGTGTTATATATATGGATATCTGTAATGCACTGTAGACTATCTGTTTAAACCTGACTAAGCGTTGTATATATGGATATCTGTAATGCAACGTAGACTATCTGTTTAAACCTGACTAAGTGTTATATATATGGATATCTGTAATGCACTGTAGACTATCTGTTTAAACCTAAGTGTTATATATATGGATATCTGTAATGCAACGTAGACTATCTGTTTAAACCTGACTAAGTGTTATATATTTGGATATCTGTAATGCACTGTAGACTATCTGTTTAAACCTGTAGACTATCTGTTTAAACCTGACTAAGTGTTATATATATATGGATATCTGTAATGCACTGAAGACTATCTGTTTAAACCTGCTGAAAGTATTGTCCGCGAATCAGCGGATCATTCTGCGCTCCTCTGTCTTTGTGAACTCACTGGGGAGTATGTAGCTCAAGCTGCCTTTCAGATGCTGAGTCAACAGTCACTTTACCATCTCCTACCAGGTACCCATTTATTGATGTTAGCAATAAATACAGATCATGTATATAATTGTACAATCAATAAGGAACCTGTTTATTTGCTTGTCAAACCTCAAACATGTCAAATAGATGCATTCCTAAAACATTCGCAAGTATTTTAGTTTATGATGTTTACTGTTATATCCCAGCTGGACTCTTAAGGGGATACAACAAGTGGAGGTAGAATCAGGTTTGTTACAGTTGCTCCCAGTGTGGTAATGATTATTTCTGCGGATCGGTGTGGACATGGTGTGCGTGACAAAACAACCAGTAACAACAATCAACAATCGTGTGACAGCTGATCTTGCTTACACACAGTGATACTGCATATGCGACACAAGATACCAATACATTTCTTCAAGCTTGAAGAAATAAAGTGATTTATTTTCGTACTCTCCTATCATACCTACAGCACTTGTTAAACTCCACCAGCTCAGATGCCAGTAGATGACCCCATATCTGCAGCTACTGTCAGTAATAATCCCACATTGGGATGAAAAATATGTTAAAAATTCCATATTAATGTTAATGTGATTATCAGTGGTGGGAATTCGTTAAAATCTCATAATTAATGACTGGGTCATTATAACCTATCAATCATTGAAAATAAGTATTTTTCACCAGGTTGTATTTATCTGTGTTGTTAAATTTCAAAATGACCTTGTTTTCTGTTTGCAAATAAAGACAAAGAAACAAAGAACTAGATGTTTTTTCTCTATTTTTATCTGAATTAACAACCATAACAGGAAACTCTGAGAAATGATGCTAACCCATTTTAATGCCAAAAACTATTCCAAAAGCGTTTATGTTTATGACTAACATGAGAAAACATGATCGATTGCTTGGTCGTTTAGTTACTGCGGCCAATGTTTGATTATTTCAATTAATCAGAACACCACTAATTATAACCAACATTATCACCATAAAAATAAGTTATGATTTGCGGTGAGACAAGGAAGTAGTTTAGGTGTACCAGTAGTCGGAAAATATTTTGAATGTTCTACTACTAACAATAATCGACCTTGGACTAAAATATGTGAAAACAGATCCCTGTTTTGAACAAAGAATTTGTTTTCAAAATTGCCTGCTGACATCTCAATAATCACTTGGTTTGTAATCCTACATTGTTCTCCATTGCTACAAAATCAGTGCAGAATTGGTGATGTGGCATTAAGCCAACCCCCCCCCCCCCCCAAACAAAAAAATATGTCTGTTACCGGTAACCCGACCAACCCTATCCTAACCACCCGACCCTAAATCTATTTTTAACCAAGTCAAAATCATGACTGGAGTGCATTTCAACTCATCATTTTCATCCAAATCAAGTATGATATTTTCATGTTTTTCAGTGTACGTAGGGCTAAAATAGATTGCATTGAATTGGCATAATGGGCTCTCACTGACAAAACCTGCAAATAAATAACATAAATAATAACTTGAAACAGAAATCTTTCTATGTTTTATCACAAGGCATTGTCACTACATGATATGGTACTCTTGAAGACCTCAGGTGCCCACCTGGTGCTACTAAAAAATTTAAAAAAATATAAAATAAAGATAAAACCGACCTACCTACCCTATTTTTAAAAAGCATGTAATAGGAAACAGACATTTTTTTGGCCTAAGCAACATTCACTCACTCGCTCACTCTGAATGTTTTTTTCAGATACGTTGTGCTGACCAGCAAGCACCATGAAGGTTTCACCAACTGGCCGTCCAAGTACTCCTTCAACTGGAACTCCATGGACAACGGCCCCAACAGGGATCTCGTGGGTAAGTCAACTTGCATCTTCTATCCAGGGTATGTTATATCCATTCTGTTACGGTTTTGTTCTTTGTTTGTTGTTTAATGCTGCTCACAGAAATATTCAGCTGTATGCCGTCAGTCTGGAAATACACGAGTCTGGACCAGACAATCCAGTGATTGACCACATGAGCATTGATCACTGCAATTGGGAAATGATGATATGTATTTTTTCATGGTAAGAGCTATAAATATAGCAAAATCAGAGTGGATGTAAAAGAAACGCTGCTGGTTTTGACTATAGTGATACAATTTGTTAAGTGTTTATTTGGCTCAAGTCTCAGCATTATCAAGATAATGAAAGGAAATTTAAATAGCTCAAAGCTCAAAAGGAGACTTTGTAAGACTTTTAGGAATGTATATTACAAGTCAATATGTTAAAGTTTTCAAAACTTGTTATTGTAAACCCAATGGTACGTCTAATTAAGAAAAATACATGATCCTCATGATGAATTAAAACACATCCTCATGATGAATTAAAACACATAGTATTTAGAGTTACCTGCCCTTATTTTTATAATCCACCATAGATGTGGGCTTGAGAATTACCATGGACCCTAGATATTAAATGCAACCTTTTGGCCTGTTGATGAACACTGTTAAAATAATTGCATCCACAGGTGAACTAGCAGCTGCAATCCGACAGAAGACCAAGATCCACTTCGGGCTGTACCACTCCCTGTTTGAGTGGTTCCATCCTCTCTATCTACAGGACAAGGCCAACAACTTCAGTACCAACAACTTTGTCAAGGTCAGTACTGGAGTTAACCAAAACCACTTTTTCACTTTTGTGGAAAATTATCTTATACATTCTACCTAAAGATGAAAGTTACAGTCTACAAGATAATGTTGCTAGTCATGTCTGCATTGTAAATCTGCCATTGTCATGACAGGAAATCAAAAGTTTACAGTGGTAATCTTGGCACTTTTCAGTGCTTTGTCTAAGTTTCAAACAGTAGAAAGTAAATGTTAACACAACATTACACGTGTTGCTGCAGCAACAGCTAATGTAAGTGTTGAAACCGCTAATGTAAATGTTGCTACAGCTAGTGTAAGTGTTGAAACCGCTAATGTAAGTGTTGAAACTGCTAATGTAAGTGTTGAAACCGCTAATGTGAGTGTTGCTACAGCTAATGTAAGTGTTGAAACTGCTAATGTAAGTGTTGCTACAGTTAATGTAAGTGTTGAAACTGCTAATGTAAATGTTGCTACAGCTAATGTAAATGTTGAAACCGCTAATGTAAGTGTTGAAACCGCTAATGTAAATGTTGCTACAGCTAATGTAAATGTTGCTACAGCTAATGTAAATGTTGCTACAGCTTATGTAAGTGTTGAAACTGCTAATATAAGTGTTGAAACTGCTAATGTAAATGTTGCTACAGCTAATGTAAGTGTTGCTACAGCTAATGATCATGCCATTACTGAGATATTTTTTAAGCATCATGCTGGGACCTTGTCTTATCTACAGTCACATATGGTACAATAACTATTAAGAATGAACAAAAATCAATATTGACTTAACAAATGCAGCTACCAGTTCTATTTAGAAGGGACCCGTGAAGATCCGGGTAGAATAGGTCTTCAGCAACCCATGTGCTTGCCATAAAAGGCGACTATGCTTGTCGTAAGAGGCGACTAACGGGATCGGGTGGTCAGTTTCGCTGACTTGGTTGACACATGTCATCGGTTCCCAATTGCGCAGATCGATGCTCATGCTATTGATCACTGGATTGTCTGGTCCAGACTCGATTAATTACAGACTGCATACCATATAGCTGGGATATTGCTGAGTGCGGCGTAAAACTAAACTCACTCACTCACTATTTAGAAGGGATCATCCTCGTATACTAGTGGAGATTTATCAGAACGTATATATTTGGTGATTATCGAGGAAGAGAAGGGACAGGGACCATTTTAATCATCAGTGAACTGACAAGTGCTTGATAAACACAACTAATTCATCAATATAGTTAGCTATTAATAGATTTAGTATAATTTAGGCAACTTTGAACTGGATCCCGAGTGACTCATTCTTTGATCCCTTCAGTTAACTTTGTGGCCTGCTTATCTGATTAGTTTGGATTTCATAAAAGAAGCAATGATGAATTTTCCAGTACAAGACGTTGCCCGAGTTGTATGAGATCGTGAACGCCTACAAGCCCGAGGTTATCTGGTCTGATGGAGACTGGGATGCACCTGACACCTACTGGCAGTCAAGGGAGTTTATTGCCTGGCTGTACAATGACAGGTAAGATCTAACAGGAACCAGGTTGACAGCAGGGATGATGAAGCCGATCTGAGTTAAAAACACTGTTTTTGTCAAGTTTTCCTGTTCTCTAGTATGCATTGTTTGGTATTTCAGTGAGTGGAAATATTGTCTCCAGACACTTCGTTTGTTGTAGCCAGTTTGCTTGTTCTGAAGCTGCCTTGACTAAACAGTATGTTAGTCTGTTCCTAAAACAAAGTCTGATGGCTGTTGCTTGAAGAATGATCAGGATGAATAAGAAGGCCTCCAGTAGTCTGGATATTGAACAGTGAATGCATGAGTGAGTAAGGTTTTACGCCGCTTTTAGCAATATTCCAGCAATATCATGGCAGGGAACACCAGAAATTCACAGAATATTGAACAGAAGTTCTCCAACTAAAGTTCATCCTCTGATAGTTTCATTGTCCTGAACAGATGATCATACTGAAAGGTATCTTTTCAGAAAAGTAGCTCGATGATGCACACACTTTGTTTGACTACTTACCTGTGTATGGAACCTGGAGGACATGGAAAGGCCTGTGTAATCCTGTGACGTCTTTATGTTATCCAGCCCTGTGCGGGATACCGTGGTGACCAATGACAGATGGGGTAATGGAGTCATGTGCCACCATGGCGGCTTCCTCACCTGCTCAGACAGGTATAATCCAGGTAAGGATTCCACTGTCTGGAGCCACAACCACATAAAGAATTTTTTAATGTTAATTTGTAGGACTGTGCTATCCCTGAAAGATTCTGAGAAAATATTACAAAAGTGTTAACCAATACTTGTTTTATAATGATCTTTAGTTATGTCCAAAACAGAATTGATTGACCCATGTCAAATAAAACCATGTGACTTATATTTTAATGTTTTAATCAACTTTGGATCATATTGATATTACAGGCAAACTGCAGAAGAGGAAGTTTGAGAATGCGATGACTATCGACAGTCAATCCTGGGGTTACCACCGAAATACTACCTTGACTCAGTTCCTCACAATTGAGTCACTGCTGGAGACATTTGTCTCAACTGTCAGGTAATGTTTGGCTGTGTCTGTCCGTCTGAATGTTTGTGTTAGCCTGGCTGTCTCTGAATGCCCATCTTAACCAGGCTGTCTGTCTCTGAATGTCTGTCTAACCTGGATGTCTGTCTCTGAATGTCTGTCTAACCTGGATGTCTGTCTCTGAATGTCTGTCTAACCTGGATGTCTGTCTCTGAATGTCTGTCTAACCTGGATGTCTGTCTAACCTGGATGTTCTAACCTGGATGTCTGTCTCTGAATGTCTGTCTTACCTGGATGTCTGTCTCTGAATGTCTGTCTAACCTGGATGTCTGTCTCTGAATGTCTGTCTAACCTGGATGTCTGTCTCTGAATGTCTGTCTAACCTGGATGTCTGTCTAACCTGAATGTCTGTCTAACCTGGATGTCTGTCTAACCTGGATGTCTGTCTCTGAATGTCTGTCTAACCTGGATGTCTGTCTCTGAATGTCTGTCTAACCTGGATGTCTGTCTCTGAATGTCTGTCTAACCTGGATGTCTGTCTCTGAATGTCTGTCTAACCTGGATGTCTGTCTCTGAATGTCTGTCTAACCTGGATGTCTGTCTCTGAATGTCTGTCTAACCTGGATGTCTGTCTCTGAATGTCTGTCTAACCTGGATGTCTGTCTCTGAATGTCTGTCTAACCTGGATGTCTGTCTCTGAATGTCTGTCTAACCTGGATGTCTGTCTCTGAATGTCTGTCTTACCTGGATGTCTGTCTCTGAATGTCTGTCTAACCTGGATGTCTGTCTAACCTGGATGTCTGTCTCTGAATGTCTGTCTAACCTGGATGTCTGTCTCTGAATGTTTGTCTAACCTGGATGTCTGTCTCTGAATGTCTGTCTAACCTGGATGTCTTTCTCTGAATGTCTGTCTAATTGGGATGTCTGTCTCTGAATGACTGTCTAACCTGAATGTCTGTCTAACCTGGATGTCTGTCTCTGAATGTCTGTCTAACCTGGATGTCTGTCTCTGAATGTCTGTCTTAACCTGGATGTCTGTCTCTGAATGTCTGTCTAACCTGGATGTCTGTCTCTGAATGTCTGTCTTACCTGGATGTCTGTCTCTGAATGTCTGTCTTACCTGGATGTCTGTATGTCTGTCTCTGAATGTCTGTCTTACCTGGATGTCTGTCTCTGAATGTCTGTCTAACCTGGATGTCTGTCTCTGAATGTCTGTCTAACCTGGATGTCTGTCTCTGAATGTCTGTCTAACCTGGATGTCTGTCTCTGAATGTCTGTCTAACCTGGATGTCTGTCTCTGAATGTCTGTCTAACCTGGATGTCTGTCTAACCTGGATGTCTGGATGTCTGTCTCTGAATGTCTGTCTAACCTGGATGTCTGTCTCTAACCTGAATGTCTGTCTAACCTGGATGTCTGTCTCTGAATGTTTGTCTAACCTGGATGTCTGTCTCTGAATGTCTGTCTAACCTGGATGTCTGTCTCTGAATGTTTGTCTAACCTGGATGTCTGTCTCTGAATGTCTTGTCTAACCTGGATGTCTGTCTCTGAATGTTTGTCTAACCTGGATGTCTGTCTCTGAATGTCTGTCTAACCTGGATGTCTGTCTCTGAATGTCTGTCTAACCTGGATGTCTGTCTCTGAATGTCTGTCTAACCTGGATGTCTGTCTCTGAATGTTTGTCTAACCTGGATGACCTGGATGTCTGTCTCTGAATGTCTGTCTAACCTGGATGTCTGTCTCTGAATGTCTGTCTTACCTGGATGTCTGTCTCTGAATGTCTGTCTAACCTGGATGTCTGTCTCTGAATGTCTGTCTAACCTGGATGTCTGTCTCTGAATGTCTGTCTAACCTGAATGTCTGTCTAACCTGGATGTCTGTCTCTGAATGTCTGTCTAACCTGGATGTCTGTCTAACCTGGATGTCTGTCTCTGAATGTCTGTCTTACCTGGATGTCTGTCTCTGAATGTCTGTCTAACCTGGATGTCTTTCTCTGAATGTCTGTCTAACCTGGATGTCTGTCTCTGAATGTCTGTCTAACCTGAATGTCTGTCTAACCTGGATGTCTGTCTCTGAATGTCTGTCTAACCTGGATGTCTGTCTCTGAATGTCTGTCTAACCTGGATGTCTGTCTCTGAATGTCTGTCTTAACCTGGATGTCTGTCTCTGAATGTCTGTCTAACCTGGATGTCTGTCTCTGAATGTCTGTCTAACCTGGATGTCTGTCTCTGAATGTCTGTCTAACCTGGATGTCTGTCTCTGAATGTCTGTCTAACCTGGATGTCTGTCTCTGAATGTCTGTCTAACCTGGATGTCTGTCTCTGAATGTCTGTCTAACCTGGATGTCTGTCTCTGAACTGTCTAACCTGGATGTCTGTCTCTGAATGTCTGTCTAACTGGAATGTCTTGTCTGTGTCTGCCTAACCTGGATGTCTGTCTCTGAATGTCTGTCTAACCTGGATGTCTGTCTCTGAATGTTTGTCTAACTGTCTGGATGTCTGTCTCTGAATGTTTGTCTAACCTGGATGACCTGGATGTCTGTCTTACCTGGATGTCTGTCTCTGTCTAACCTGGATGTCTGTCTCTGAATGTCTGTCTAACCTGGATGTCTGTCTCTGAATGTTTGTCTAACCTGGATGTCTGTCTCTGAATGTCTGTCTAACCTGGATGTCTGTCTCTGAATGTCTGTCTAACCTGGATGTCTGTCTCTGAATGTCTGTCTTACCTGGATGTCTGTCTCTGAATGTCTGTCTTACCTGGATGTCTGTCTCTGAATGTCAGTCTAACCTGGATGTCTGTCTCTGAATGTCTGTCTAACCTGGATGTCTGTCTCTGAATGTCTGTCTTACCTGGATGTCTGTCTCTGAATGTCTGTTTAACCTGGATGTCTGTCTCTGAATGTTTGTCTAACCTGGATGTCTGTCTCTGAATGTCTGTCTAACCTGGATGTCTGTCTCTGAATGTCTGTCTTACCTGGATGTCTGTCTCTGAATGTCTGTCTAACCTGGATGTCTGTCTCTGAATGTCTGTCTAACCTGGATGTCTGTCTCTGAATGTCTGTCTAACCTGGATGTCTGTCTCTGAATGTTTGTCTAACCTGGATGTCTGTCTCTGAATGTTTGTCTAACCTGTATGTCTGTCTCTGAATGTCGGTCTAACCTGGATGTCTGTCTCTGAATGTCGGTCTAACCTTGTATGTCTGGTAGTCTGTGTTTTCCAGGTCTCTCTGTAACTGTATATGTACCTGGTCTAATGTGGACTGTTTTTATATGGTCATCTTTTCATTGGACAGTCTGGTCGTTATACAGTAAACTACTGGTTTTAGCCAACTCAAAGGGATCACTAATTCTAGCTCATTATAACTGTATTTTGTTGCACTTTTAATGAAATATCCAACAAGTGACTGAGACCTAAAAACATTTTGTTATATCCATCAGTTCATTATAAGCATGTTCTTATTTTACTGAATTTTATAATCTGTCTGCATGTCTGGTGTCTGATTTCCTCACAAATATTTAGCTAGGTAGGAAACATGAGCATGTTTAAGTAAAAGTGAGATATTTTACAAAATACTTTAGCAGTAGTTCAGTTCCATCATGACAGGGAAGAAAGCTGCTACAACCCATGACTGAACAAACATAAGAAGAAGGTTTTGGAGCTCTTTTTGGATGAAACTTTGAAAAATTGGTGCTTGACCTTTGTCATATGCTGAAATCAAACATTTATTTCCCTTCATAATCCAGAATGGATTAAATTGTCGAAATTAATTTACAGATATGAAAATGCAAAATAATCTTCGTTATCACCTAACAAGTAAACAAAGTAAATCTATGTGTTTTAAATCACCTCTTTGTGCAAGAAAGTATGCAAACCTCAGCTGTGATAAACAAAGTAGTGGATATAAGGATTACAGGGTTAAATGTTTAGCAGCACAGGAAAATATTGAGATGTAATTGCATCTTGTGCTAATTCTGTGTAAGGGGAGGTAACTTTTGTTGCCTTAATCATATAGGATCTCATCTTCATTGTGGTTAGTAAGAGGCTCATCACAATGAAATACATGGTTGGCTGGCTGGCTGGCTCACCCACCCAGACTCAGTAACCCACCCACTCAGTAACTCACTCAGTAACTCACTCGCTTGTACACTATGGTACAATAGGGTATCCTTGTTAAACTGAAGCATGTTATCTCAGTAGGTTAGCCCTTAAAACCCAGTACTAGTGTTTACAAGTGCTTGGAGCCCCACCCACACTGGGACAGTTTATACATTAAATATATTACATGAACAGTGGTGGAAATATCACTCTGTACCGGTGTCCAGTTGACTTTCCAATGTTAATTAACAAGAAAACGGCTGGTATAGTGGAACAATTATCAGGGCAAGTGATTTTACATGTGCCACTGTACCGGACTACACTAGCAATTTTAAAGTTATTTCCACCCCTGCATGAACCATTTCATGGGGTTGTACAACAGATTGGGCAGAACAGATGAATACAAATATAAAGAGTGACTGATAAGTAATGTATTTCTGCGCAGCTGCTGTTTCAAACATTGGATGATCTCATCTGGGAGTATACATTTATGACTGTAATCAATTAGGGTCTTCCGACTCATGTTAGAACTGGTCTTCAGCAACCCATGCTTGTTGTAAGATGTGACTAATGGGATCGGCTGGTCAGGCTCGCTGACATGGTTGACAAATGTCATCGTATCTAGTTAAGTAGATTGATGCTCATGTTGTTGATCACTGGATTGTCTGGTCCAGACTCGATTATTTACAGATTGCCATCATATAGCTGGAATATTGCTGAGTACTGCATTTAAACAACAAACTAACAACATTTAACTGAATGCTGTTATCATAGGTGACAAATGCATCTCACACACTCAGAAAAAGAAAAACGTTTTTATTTCAACATGGACATCTTGTCTATATTTCAGCTGTGGAGGCAACATGCTGATGAACGTCGGACCCACCAAAGATGGACGCATCATTCCACTCTTCCAGGAACGTCTGAAGCAGATGGGAGACTGGCTGAAGGTCAACGGAGAGGCCATCTACTCCAGCCGGCCCTGGACATCACAGAACGACACACTGACCAGCAGAGTGTGGTGAGTGTTGTGCGGCGGGGATGATGTTGTTCGAGCCATGCCTGTCATGTACAGGGATGATGTCATTGTACAACACGTCATGTAAGTTATAATGCCTGTCGGGGCGGTCGGGTAGCCTAGTGGTTAAGGCGTTCGCTCGTCATGCCAAGGACCTGGCTTTGATTCCCCTCAAACGGCGTACAACTAAACTCACTCGCTCACTATAATGCCTGTCACACACAGGGATGATATCATTGTACAACACGTCATGTGAGTCATGATGGCTGTCATGTACAGGGATGATATCACTGTACAACACGTCATGTGTGTCATGATGGCTGTCATGTACAGGGATGATATCATTGTACAACACATGTGTGTCATGATGGCTGTCATGTACAGGGATGATATCACTGTACAACACGTCATGTGTGTCATGATGGCTGTCATGTACAGGGATGATATCATTGTACAACACGTCATGTGTGTCATGATTTGTCATGTACAGGGATGATATTGTACAACACGTCATGTGTGTCATGGCTGTCATGTACAGGGATGATATCATATTGTACAACACATCGTGTGTCATGATGGCTGTCATGTACAGGGATGATATCATTGTACAACACGTCATGTGTGTCATGGCTGTCATGTACAGGGATGATATCATTTTGTACAACACGTCATGTGAGTCATGAAGTAGCTTGTCCTATCACTGAATTTTACCCCCTGCAGATGAGGGCTAGAACTGCACACTTCATCAGATACTAAAACACTTTGTAAGAATGTTTATAATCACATGAATGTCTCACAGGTACTGATACCATCCAAGATGATTCAGGGTAGAACTGATCATCAGTAACCTATGCTAGTGGATCAGGTACCTTCATTGATCCAAGTCATTGTATCCCAATCGCATAGATTGATCTCATGACCTCAATCACAAGATTGTCTAGTGTACAGTTGATCATTGACAGCCTACCATCTTATAGCTAGAGTCAGTGAGTATGGTTTTACGCCGCTTTTAGCAATATTCCAGCAATATCACGGCAGGTGACGCAAGAAATTGGCTTCACACATTGTTCCCATGTGGGGATTCGAACCTGGGTCTTCAACGTGAGGAGCGAACGCTTTAACCACTAGGCTACCCCACCACCACTCTTATAGGTAGAAAATTGCTGAGTATGCCAAACAAACAATCAGTACCCACTCACTGGTGGGTGAACAGCAGCACATTTTTAGCAAATCTCTTAGTTAGGGATTCCAGTGTGTGACCTTTTGACTGAAGCTGTTGAAACTGGAACTACTCATGCAATCAGAACACAGTTATTTCCCACGTACATGACTAACATTGCATAACTTCACCTATTTTGTGACCTTTAGGGCTGCGAGGTAGCCTAGTGGTTAAAGCTTTCGCTTGTCATGCCCAAGATCCAGGTTCGATTCCCCACATGGGAACAATGTGTGAAGCCCATTTCTGGCGTCCCCCAGTCATGATATTGCTGGAATATTGCTAAAAGCGGCATAAATCCATACTCACTCACTGTCTCAATTGTGACCTTTTGGTTGAACACAGTCCCACTTGCCACCACAACTAATGACCTCGTTTATGTTACAGGTACACATCCAAGAAACAAAATGGCGGAACCAGTGTGTATGCTGTTGTCCTTGACTGGCCAAAAGGTGACACCCTTTCCCTTGGCGACCCGGTCACCTCCCTAGCAACAACTGTTTCACTTCTCGGTTACCCTGGTAACTTCAACTGGCAGAAGAGAGAACCCAAGGGGATAGACATCGAGATTCCCCCAATCCCCTTCAACAAAATACCTTGCCAATGGGCATGGACCTTCAAATTTACAGGACTTGCTAATTAGGTTTTTTGTTATACACATTATGTTCCTTATCATCCTTGCAGCACATGGAAATCCTGCTGGAATTTACTTTGTTTTATCCAAGACTTTTGTCTACGTAATCTGTTTCTCTCTCTGTTTAAACATGCTAGACATTCCATGTTGTTACAAATAGAAACACAGAAGTAGTTGTGGAGAGAGTTACAACTGCTTATCAGAAACCCTTTTAAAATTTTCAAATAGAATTACAAATGATAATGTAACGAGAAGACTTTGGCCATAGAAGATTTTAAGACCTGACTTGTAAAAACAGCAGAGCTCTGCTGTTGCTTCTTCACTGCCAATTTAAATATTTTCAAACCACCACAGCGTTTCTGGAATTTTACACAAGACAACATTCGCTCACTTACTCCTGTCCATCATTCTCTTCCCACAGAGGTTACTTGTCATGTTTGTCACGATATGGCTGCAGTATTGCCGATGTGACGTTACATAATAACTCACTCACTACTGTCATGTCTTCGTAGGATGATATGACAAGTAACCTCTGTGGGAATAGAATTCCTGTGTCCATAGGATGTTATAAACTTATTAATGACATTTTGTCCATTTTTTAAAACAATATGTGATTTTTATTCATATAAAAATATTTATTAAACAAACTATTCAAGACACTAACTTCATATCAAACAGGAATGTGGTAAGACTTTTAATAATTTTATTAAATTAAATCTAATTTATTTATTATGGCCCTAACAGATATATTTGAAAGGTATGCTTATTTTGCCTGATGTGCTCCATGTGCCTTGACTGTGTCCCTAAATACTGATGCCCAGTCACTGATGTGAGTGTCATGCCTCACAGCCACTTTCGACAAGACGTCAAATACTTTTACTCTCTTGAAAAATGATTGGTTTGAACATAACATAATAGCCTGAGGGTGACAGTATATTTTCAAAATATTTTATTTTTGTGTTATTTGGTTGTTATGTACTTAAAAGAAAAAAATATTGCTCAGTTTAATGTAAATGTTTTAGAGTTTTTTATCTTTTATCAAATAAAGTGTAATTTACAAGTGTTTTTCTACTGTGAATACTTTTTCTTGTTGTGTTTTACATGTAAATGCAAAATATTTTGTAAATGAAATGTCAGGGTTGTCATCAAATATATATTTTTGTGATAATTTACTTTCCATTTCATATCAAATGTGTGCAATCAATGATATAGTATTTGTGAAAATGTGTAATGTTTATGTGTATACATGCCCTAAGAAAATGGTATTTGTTTGTTTAAAACTGGACCTGTTGAATGCATACATTCCACATTACTATGGTAATATTTTATTACCATGGAAATAGGGTTGTTGCAATGACATACACTGGGTCCTTTATTATTTATGTTAGTTCTGAAACAATGAAAGATCTGTTTGTTCTCTTACTTCACCTGTTAACTGTACCGCTATACTTTCAAATAAAATACATCTTGCTCTGAAATCAGAGGTTGTTTTTGCTTCAGACCAGCTGATAATAATATTTTCTCCCTTTTCAAGGCATTTTCCATACGATTATACACAAACCGCGTGACAGAGCTGGACTGAAGACAGCAGCGTTCAACAACATTCACCCACGTGACGGAACTGATTGGCTTTTGTTCCAGGTTCATTTAAGGTCTGAATCAACTGTCATGTGATTTATGTCCTAGGGGGTCAACATTGAAGCATCTGTTAATGAGGGGACTGACATTTGTGACAACACGGCTCAATAAGGTCGAGGACACACCAAATCAAATTACTCCGTCCCCTCAAGATTATTACCCCACCCCCTCCACCACTCATCCCCTCCCCCATGACTAACTACCTTGATCTCTTGTGTTCAGTCAGTACGGCAAAACTTCAACTTCCGGTGATTTTGGAAACATTCTCTGGCCGAGGGCGTCGTCTGCTCCCTGAGGTCACGTGTTCAATGGATGTCGAGTTGAGAGCATTGTTTGATATGACATAGACTAAGGCTTAGTCTCTGAATATATATAATTTGGATAGTAACAAACAATCCCATTTATATTGAAAAGGAGCCCTAGGGAGACCAGAGATTCAGAGACTAAGAACATCTGCATTGGGGCTACACGTGCTGGGGTCATTACCAATTAGAAGTCACATCATACAACCATCAGATAACGCTATAAGTGAAATGCATATTTATTGGCCCTCCTGTCCTATCTCCATGCTGTCATCACCTCATGTGGGCCGGTCAAGTGCCCCTGCTGCCTAACATTTTACTGTTGGGAAACTTGCAGCCCACAATGTCACTTGGACACTAGATGACCAAGGTGCAAGATCTGTGTGGAACACCAACAAAAGTATTTATGAATTTGAACTTATCTCCAAATTCAAAAGTTTCCATTTGTATAATATGCGAAGAGGATATAGATAACCACCTTTTTTTAAACAAACTGTTCAATTGAAGTGAAAAGGCCAGCATCTGTCTTACGCTTGAAGATGTTCTGGGTATTTCTAGATACTAGATCATCCTCACTAGATTTCACCTTGCATGCGTCACATCACGAAGGTAAACAGATTTAATTCCGAGATGCTGTGCCTTTTGAATTTGGTTCTTCACGAGAAGGCGACTAACAGGGTCGGGTGGTCGGGCTTGCTGACTTGGTTGACACATGTCATCGTATCCCAATTGCGTAGATGCTCATGCTGTTGACCACTGGATTGTCTGGTCCAGATTCGACTTATTTACAGACCGCCGCCATATATGGAATATTACTGAATGCGGTGTAAACCCAAACTCACTCACTCACTCACTCACTCTTCATGAGTGCTAGGTCCCTGCCATATGTTTTACTGTTGAGCAATTAGATAAAAAGAGATACTCAAAACACACCAGAGTTTCACACAATAATCTTATATCAGGAATAAGAAAAATAACCCTTGTTTTAATTACAATTAAATCCTTAACCGCATTTACAATTGGGCTGCTATGTGTGGACCCAAGTTAGACAATGAAACAATACTTTTTTACAACATAACATTCAGGAGGAACCTTTCCCCAAGATTTTGCTTGATTTGTCTCTTCAAACCAGAAACTGTGCACAAGGCCTCCACTATAGCTTCATGTCACCCAATGTGCTTGTTAATTAAGAGTTGACAGATGAAAATGTGAGGCAAGATTCCAGACCACTGGTGAGGATGTTGGTCCGGCCAGCCATGATAGTTAGATATGTTTACTTTGTAACCCGACCCCCAAAGTGAGTTAGTTTTCTTGCAGATGTTAACAGACCCTGAACCTGAGGAAATCTAGACTTGCTTTATTTAGGGCTTTAGCACTGCAGAGAGGGCTAGGCAGTAGGGAAAATAATGTTGTTCAGGGACTGTGAGACAGACTAGATATGACAGTGCGTGTCAGCCGAGTGACTGTGATCAACGATGTGACGGTAATAGCGAACATCTGGGTGATGGGGTGTATAAAAATGATATTAAAAAACAATTGATGCGAACCCCGATACGCTGCGGTCAATTTTGACAATTATTCGTAATTTTCAAAGTTGATTAGTTCCTTTGAAATATCATTTTCAAAAGATGGTTTTGTTCACGTTTGATTCTTCTCTGTTGTGTAATAAGAGTTCATTAAATAACCATGATGTGTCATTGTTTCCAGTAATACATGTTTTCTTGGAATGGAGGGAACAAACTGTTTTTCGCGTATCGTCTCATCCAACACGACTAACTTGTTATACCTAAGGACAAGATCTTTTTCTTGCATTCTATGGAGTGATTTTTTAAAGCTCACCATTAAAGAAAGTCTGGTTAGTTGGTTTGCTGTTTTACGCCGCACTCAGCAACATTCCAGCTATATGGCTGCGGTCTGTAAATAATCGAATCTGGACCAGACAATCCAGTGATCAATAGAACGAGCGCCGATCTATGCCATTGGCATACGATGCATGTCAACCAAGTCAGTGAGTCTGACCACCCGGTTACGTTAGTCGCATCTTACCACAAGCATGGATTGCTGAAGAAAAATTCTAACCCGGATCTTCACGGATTTACAAAGGATTGTCTTAGATGGGCACGAAATACAAAATGATAACTATGCCGCAATAGACTGCGCAGGCATTAGCTAAATATATTTTGCAAGTATTTTCACATTACAGCCATATTGGGAATCGAACCAGGTCCTTAGACATGACGAGCGAACGCTTTATCTAGTAGGCTAACCCAGAGATAGCGGTGGGGGTGGGACACATTCGTCACCACTCGCCCCTTTCCGTAACCTCCAAGAAGCTATTCGGCTTGTTCCGGAATAACACAAGTTGGTCACGAATGTATATACAAATTACACACGAAAGTAACTTGACAGAAGATGTAATAAGTTGTAGGTGTCGGGACATGTCTTCAACGTCCAACATCTTTATGAATCAAGGAGCATAGAGATGTTGCTGGCCAATCAGATATGCGGACTCGGTGGTACAATATGCCATTGCTAGACTTGGGTTAGGTTGAATGCTTTTTTACAAATAACGAAATGAAAGATAAACTCTCGTAAGCCAGCTGTGGTTGTTAACGGTCATTCCGTCAGGGTGCGATTACACAATCGGGTGACATTATGATGACTTGGGATAAGTTTGAATTTTTGGTCAGAAAATGGAAGATAAACTCAGATGAAATTACGTTTCTATCTCGTTAATTCACTACATGTACCTTTCTTCGTCTCCTAGCAGTTGGAACGTTCACTCGTCACGCCAAAGAAAACACTCCTTCGATTTCCCACGCGGGAAATGTTTGAAGCCAATATTTGTGTCATCAGTCGGGATATTTCTGGAATATTTCTAATGCGGTGTAAAACCATATACACTTACTGCTTTTTGTCCTCTACCAATATAAGACCGCCTCCGTGGTGTAGTGGTTAGAGCGTCCGCCCGTTCCATCCCCGACCACGTCATACCAAGAGACGTTAAAATATGGTACTTGCATTGTTGGTCCCTGCCTGGCGCTCGGCATTAATGGGTACATCAAGGACTGGTCTGCTCGGAGTCAGTATAATGTGTCTGAGTGGGGTATTCATGCTCACTGCGGCATGGTTATCTCAGTGGGCTAGCATTATTAAACCAGCTTCAGTCTGGGCTAGTACAAGCAGCCGCACCTACACATACACACGCATGCACGTCGTCATATGAGCGAAATATTCTCAAGCACGACGTTAAACCCAATTTCACCTCACCTCACCAATCTAAAATATAGAACTAGCACAAAGACTGTTACCTTGTAGGCACTACATACCACGACCATGTCATAATTATTGTTGAGCGGAGCATATTATATGTGCGCTTCATCGGGTATACCGTGAGGAAAGGACAAGCTTGCAAAACATAGTCAAGAAAAACAAGTTTTTGTAATCCCTAAAGAACTGAATTCTTCTGAAAGATAGCCATTATTCTTAATACAAATGCAGATGAAAACGAGCAAATCCTATATATTCAGTCAATTTCAAATATTATCGCTCAACAAATGTCATTTGCTATCTGTCCGTTATACGTTCTATATATAGAAATAGCGATGTTTATTAGAATTGAGTAATAATTCGAAGTTACTTCGCTATATCAGTAATATAATTTCCCAATATGATTGAACAAATATTTTAACACTGCATGTGTGTATCAATGCTCATGCTATCGCCCACTGTTGGCACAGGCCCTCGTGTCTTTCGGAGCATTAAATATTTTATAAAATATATACAAACATTTGAGATGACCCCCGACTCGAAATGCTTCACAGAATAATACATTATTACCTTGTCATGATGTATTGCACTGTGAAGCATTTCGGGTCGGAGGTCATCTCAAAAACAATAGTTTTTTTTCATTAATCCTCGCAAAGACACGAGGGCCTGTGACTGTTGGATCAGGTGAGAATCAATACCTTACACGTCACTGTTATATGCTATTTATATCAGCATGATGCCACATTTATCCACTCACTCACTCACTCAAGACATCTACAGAAACAGGGCCTAGATATTCGAAGCTCTCTTAGCGCTAAGATAGTCGTAGGTTAAAGGTCACATGCAACCAAAAAATCAAACATAATTAAAACACAATTATCACTTCTTCATGACATATAATATGCATTGCTGATTATGAAAAAAACAAATAAACAAAATTATAAGCGTATAATCGCAAATCAAAAGTGCAATATTTTGTACTTGGGTTTACCTCCCTCGAAACGAAGCAGCCGGGATACCGAACCCAGTCAGAGCGGGTGGGTGTGCACTCAAGTGTAACGGCTGGTTCATTAGCAGATGCCGCCTTCACGGGTCAATGTGTGTGTATATATAGAAAGTGCGGTTTTGTAAATACATGCTCATTTTTTTGTGTATAACATTTTGCAATCAACAGACATCATAACATGTCATGTGTTCAAGTATCACACCTGCCTGTCTGTGTAATTACATAATGTGACAGAGACCGAACTCGGGCCATAAATCAATGC